ACTACGACTACCACTACTACTACTACTACTACTACTACTACTACTACTACTACTACTACTACTACTACTACTACTACTACTACTACTACTACTATTAATACTACTACTACTAATACTACTACTACTACTACTACTACTACTACTACTACTACTACTACTACTACTACTACTACTACTACTACGACTACTACCTACTACTACTACTACTACTGCTTCGCTACTACTACTACTACTACTACTACTCTACTTCTACTACTACTACTACTACTACTACTACTACTACTACTACTACTACTACTACTACTACTACTACTACTACCCATCCCCCCCACACACACACTGGCGGACCTAACCGCTTGGGTGCAGGTAACCAAGCCTGTGTCTCCGGGCCTCGCGAGACCTGTTCCCACCTGGGAGGACGGGCTGCTGTGGCTGAGGTACCCACGCCCCAATCGGGATGGGAATATGAAGTGTTCCAAAAATGGGCCTTGCCTTCGAAGATCGCAGGAGTTGCCATCTCTTCCGCGGCGGAACGCGGCGGAAGGTTGGCAAAAGGCGGCGGCAGCAAAACGAGGCCGCCTCCGCGGGCGGAAGCGCACGGAAGGGCAGCGGAAGGTGGCGGGATTAACAAAAATGCGCCCCAAACAAATGAAGACGTTATTTTGTTCAGGGTTTCCGAAGCCTGGCATACAGGTCAGACATTGTTTGGGGGAAAAAATCAGACACCGCTACTCCCCTGACCTCTCCCAGGGTGCGTCTTGACCAACATTTCAAGGCGAATCCAGCGGTACCGACGAGGGCCTCCCAAATGGCCCCAAAAGGGGGAATTCAGGCACGGGTAACGGTATTGGTACCTTTCCCAGCCGATGACGATGCCGAGGACCAGCCCAGCGACTCCAGCGCGCTCCGGTGCAATGCCTGCATCTCCGCCCGCACCCTGCCGAGCTCGAGCGCCTCGCCGCCCGCCTGCGTCAAGGGCGCCGTGCCCGGCGGCGCCTGGGAACCCGGCGCCGTGCCCGCGGCGAGGAGCTCCGGCACGCGCGGTGCCTCGCCGAGGGCGGCCGCGCCGCCACCGCTGCAGGCCGCCATGGCCGGTGGCCTTGGGCGGTGGGCGCCGGCCGCTGGCGGCGCCAGCGGAGAAGGCCCGCGCCAAGATGGCTGGCTAGGCGAGGGGGTTCCCAAGAGGTCCTCCCCGATCCCAGACCTCCTCGCGCTGTGAAAAAAATCACGGCGGGAGGTTTCCGCTATGTTCGGCATCCAGGGGCCCTCGCCCGGCCTCGGGAACGTCAAGGAACGATGCAGGATGAAGGACCGGTCCCGGAGAAGGGGTCCAGGCTCCTGGGGGTCACGCCATGAAGCAATCACGACGTCGGGGGTCTGCGAGGTCTGCCCCGCCGTGTCTCGCACGCCCGAGCTTCCCCTCGTCAAAAGTAGCTGATCACGTGGGGCGCCTGCTTCGCCTCTCCCGATGCAGCCTTCTCGCACCGGGGTGCTGCAACGAGGGGGGGAGGATGACGCGGACGAGGAGGAAGAAGAGCCCGCGAACCGCAATGATCGATAATAGTCTTTACCGAAACTTGCGTTCTGCCGTGAGACTGTTTTTCGGAGCCTCGAGCGTGGCTCTGGTGATAATTAAGGCGGCCTTCGGGCTGTGTTGGGACATCCCCAGGACCATGCTTGCGTCCAGGATGACCCCGAAAGAATTGCTATGTGGCTCCATGGTGCCTTTCGTCATCGTGGAGGTGAAGCGCCCCCCTCCAATCACTCGTACTGGAATCTGGCTTGAATGGTCCGCGGATGCTCTTCCTAATCCTGCCAGACCTGGGGTCCCGCCTTCCTACTTGGTTCTTGGGAATGGGATCGGATCTTGTAATTAAGCACTCCGTGCGGGGGTTGTCCAGGGCGGGTTGGGGAGTGGTCGTGGTTCATGGTTTCGGAGGAGCGCCTTTGGGCTGTCGGCGGGGGAAAGGTTTCGGAGGCAGGGGACCTCGTACGCTGACGTTGCGGCGAGAGTTGGAGCGGAGCTCCGTCCTCGCACGCATCCAACAGTGGCCGAGGCTCTGGATCGGAAGATTGCAATCGCCCGCCGCACTCTGTTGGGCGGAGCGGAGCTCCTGCCACTCTGGCCGAAGGTCGAGTTGAGGGGTCTTGAACGGGTCCAGCCGCCACGTCCTCCCAAGCCAGATCGTTTAGAGCTCGAGCACGAACTGGCTTTGTTTGGAGGTGCCGGCTTTGCTCGAGGGCCTTCAGGGCGTCTTCCGAGCCTTCGGAAGGCCCTGAGTGCTCGGGCCTCAACCGACTCGATCAGGGCATCTTGGAGCGTCTCAGTTACCGTGTGATAGCGTTCCCATAACAGTTGTGGAGTCGTTCTCCGCATTGATCGTAAATGCCCCACGCCTACGGTGACTGGCATAAAACATATACGCAAGTTCCGAAAAGGCCTCCATCCTGATAAGAAGGATGCTACAGTCAAGATCGAAGAGTTCATCGCGTTGATCATCATGACAGTTCAATGTCACTCCAGCTGAGCTGGTGTTTGCAATCGCTGTCACAGAGGCCGTGCAATTGCTGCCCGCGACGCTGCCCCCTGATTTCCGACGCCATCGTTTTTCACAACGATCGGCCCCCGAAAGTCGAGGCCCCTTGCCTGGGACCGCTTTTTTTCATCCCCAGCTGGGTTTCTTGAGGTCGTGGAGCCCAGAAAGGGTCCCCAAAGGACAAAGATTGCCAAACACCTCCCATCGTGAGTTTCGCAACGAGTGCGGGCTCGTCAACGGCCCATCCACAGCTGCCAGCGCACCATCTCGATTGACACGCTGGCCTTCCCCTCAGACTGAGTCGTGCTCCAGCCCGGCCCTGAGGTCTCACCGCACACACCGCGTCTCCGCCACCTAACGACACGTCTATGTCTCGCCCCCCGCTAGTACCCTCGAGGACCGCGGCCATCAGCACAGGGGTGGGGCAGCAAGCGCGACGTCCACCCCCCCTCCGCTTTGAGAACAACAACTCTCGTACTGGTAAGAAGGGGCTGGAAAAAGACAAGGCACGACTGCGCAATAAGCGCCCTCCACATACGCGGTCATTTGGATGATCTGATCATTTCTCCGACTCTTAGCCGCACCGCAACATAACACGCAACCCGCCGCAAACCGTGCCGCCTCCTCCGTCCAGCCGCTCCTTGTCCCAGCGGGCACCGACTAGATAGGGCTGCGCCACCGGCAGCATCTCCTCTGCCCTTCGCCCCTCTCTCTTGTCTCCTTTTCGCAGCTTGGACTCAGACCCCCAGAAGTCCAGAACCCCTTCCTCGGGACCGGCTTCACATTCCGAATCATTTTCGGACGGCCCCGGCCCGTCCCCAGAAGCCGAAAATTGCCACACATCTCCCGGAACGATTATTCAAAACGAAAAAAGATGCCATTCCCCTTTCTCCGTCACACGCCCCCGTCCCTGCCCCCCGCTCTCAGGCGGAGCACAAAGAGCAGCGGAGGGGTCCATCTGTTCTCGCAGCGAGTTCATGAGCACGAGCTTGCTCTCGTAGTTCCTGTAGGCCCTGGCGACGATGGTGCGACGCGGGGCTTCGATCGAGCCGTGCTCCAACAGTGCGCTGAGTCGGGCGGGTGGCGCTCGGGACCTCGCCAGGATATGCCACTGACGCCACCAACCGGCCCAGCTACGAGGGCGCTGGAAACGTAATGGCCCTCCTGACCGACATGGCTCCCCTCCTCGCTCCCACGGGCCTCCTCTCGACTGCCATTTCCCTGCCGCCTCCTCTCTCTCTCTCTCTCTCGTTTTGCCATCTTCTCCCTTCTCCCTCCCGTACCTCCCTCCCTGCCTGCGCGCCCCCCTTCAACGCCTTCCCAGCCCCTGTGCTCCCTCCCACCCCCAAGGCGTTGCCCCGCCGCCCCTCCCCACTTCATGCACAATCAACCGTGCACGGGCCTTGGAAGGCCATGTTAGCATTTTCAAACGGAGGCTGGCCAGCGAAAGTCGCCAAGGATGGGCCGAAGGGGCCAGGATGCAAGGGCAACCTAGGAAAGTCGCTCATGCTTACTAGGTTGACTGTCTGCCTCCCTCCCTCCATCCCTCCACAACCCCCTTCCCTTCGCTTCCCCCAAAACCCCCTCCGTCCCTCCCTCCATCCATCCCTCGCCCCTTCCCTTCACCCCCCCCCCCCCCGAATCGATCTCTCTGCCCCTCCCTCCCCCATCCACGCCTCCATCCCTCCCTCGGTGATCACCTCCGTCCCTCCACGCCCGCCTCCCTCCCTCCACGCCCCGTCCCTCCACGCCCCGCTCTCTCTCTCTCTCTCTCTCTCTCTCTCTCTTTCTCTCTCTCCCTCCACGCCCGCCTCCCTCCCTCCACTCCTCCGTCCCTCCCTGCCTCTTTCCCTCCCTCCCTCCCTCCCTCCTTTTCCTCCTCCTCTTCCTCCTGCTCCTCATCCTCCTCCTTCTCCTCCTCCCCCTCCTCCCAGCTGGCCCGCAGGAGCCATTCAGGAAAAACGCGGGGTGGCATGAGGCCCCCGCCCCCCTGGGGGGCACGAGACGAGGCGCCCCCTCCCTGAGGGCGCGGAGTGGCACGAGGGCGGAGTGGCGCGAGACAAGGCGGCTGCCCCGATGGGGTGTGTCCTGGGGAGGCGCGGAGGGGCACTATACCCCCCCCCCCATCCATCCCTTCCTGGAGCTCTCTCGGTGGCGCCTGGCCCGACTCCGTTTCCAAAATGGTGTCCCAAGACCCCTCGCGGGGTCCATCAGGGCCTGTTTTCTAGCCAGAGAGGGGGGAGCAGGTCACCGATGAGGGAACCGGGAGAAAGACGGGATGCCTGAAATCTCCACATCCCCTCATCGATGAAGGTGCGTCGCCTTTCACCGCAGCTGCCTGACTCAGAACGACAACGCAAAAAAAATGTTCAAAATGGCCGCGCGGATTTCTGTGGCCGGCGCTGGGCCCCACGCGGCGGCGTCTCCAGCGCCGCCCTGGCGCGTTCCAGGCGCTAGAGGATGGGGGTCCAGCCTGGACCTCGGAAAACTTGCGGCCGTGTTTGTTGTTGGTCTTTGTCTGGCTATGCTCAGCTGCCTTTCATGTTTGGTCTGTCTGGGTCTTCAACTCGGATGTTGTGGGATCTTCAGCCCTTCCAGATGCCACCCTTCATCCCAACTGCCCCACCCTCTTTCGCAGACATCTTCCCATACGACTTGCTTCCACCCGCGGCCCCAGAGCTCCTGGACCCTGGGGCCCGATGACGGGCCCTAGAGGCCGAGGCATCCATAACCAGCCTCAAACTCATCCTTGTCCCTACGGTGGGCGAGTAAAGAGCGAGGATCAATTTAGGGATGCGCCCTCCGAAACTGGGGGGACCCCGAAGATCGACATCGAGGTGAAGTGATGCCAAACACAGGAGTAGGGAGATGCTTTAAACTGGCAACTCAAGGAAATGAGTATCGTTTAACCAATCCCCATCCCCAGCAGCGTGGCCTGGGCCCCACTGGCCGATTCACGCCCCTAGATGGGGATATGGGTCGTTTCCTTCGGGTTTCGAGGGGTGTATCCCCAACAAAGGTGGTAATTTGGTGTGGGTTCTGAAGGGGATCGAGATGGGGATGGGAATCGATTAAACGATTCCGCGGAAAAATATCCGGATTTTGAAAAGTCACACCGTCGGACGCCTGGCTTGGGGGCCCACCCAGCAGAGCCGGGGGCGGCCGGAGAGCCCCGGCAGGAGCCCTCAGACATGAAGCGCCCCCCCCCCCCCCCCCCCCCCCCCCCCCCGCACCAAGGGAAACGCGCGCGGGCCCCCCGGACTCCCCCTTGCGGGAAGAGGGCCCGAAGGCGCCCGCGCCGACGAGCAGGGGATGCGCAGCTACCTCGTCGCCCAGGGACTTGCCTCCAGCCGAAAGGGCGCGGCGCGTAGGGGAGCGATCGGTTCACCTCGTCACTTCGAGGTACCTCCCGAGAAGAGGAGGAGGAGGAGGAGGAGGAGGAGGAGGAGGAGGAGGAGGAGGAGGAGGAGGAGGAGGAGGAGGAGGAGGAGGAGGGGAGGGGGAGGAGGAGGAGGAGGAGGAGGGGAGGAGGAGGAGGAGGAGGAGGAGGAGGAGGAGGAGGAGGAGGAGGAGGAGGAGGAGGAGAAGGAGACGAGCGCAGGAAGAGTCCTGGTCAACTGCTACTACAGCCCGCGGTGGGGCGGCAGCGGGGGCGCGCCTGGCCTGTTGCACCTCTCGATGGAGGCGCCGAAGTTGAAGGCGGCAGGCGCAGCCGCTGTTTCATTCATGTGAGTCGGGGCACCGTGTGACGACATAAGGTGGAGAAGCGGGGGAGAAGCAACAACCGCAACGGCAGCGCACAGGAGCGAAGGGCCGAGATGGAGAGTCGACGGCGCAGAAAAGGACTGAGCGAGGGGGCTAGGGAGCGAGGGGGGAGCAGCGAGGGCAGGAGCAGGCGCAGAGCTCAGGAGAGACGGACGGGTAGAGAAGATGCGCCCCGTCGCCGAGACTTAGGCATAGGCAGAGCAGATGGGGAAGACAGGCTGCGGCAGAGAACAGGTGGGCGACACGGGCACCGCAGGGGGTGCCGATAATGGGTCCCGCGGCACCGTCGACAAAATCTGCAAGCTGGAGCTGCGACGCACAGGCATAGAAATCACTGGCGTGGCCACCGAGGCTCTCGATGGTGCTCAGCAGTGGGGGTCGGCCTGACCTCGAGGCTCTCAGAGGGGCCATCGCAGAGGAAACGTCAAAGCGAGAGGGCGGCGTGGGAGCCTGCAACCCAGCTTCATCCCCTGAGCTGCAAACGAGAACGGGGGAAGCGAGGAGCGCGGCAGGGGTGGGTGGCTCAGATGACGAGCTCGACGAAGAGGAGGATGAAGAGGAAGGGCCAGGCCGAGGCTGCCCGAAGTCCGTCACCTCGAGGGCGGCCCGCTCGCCGTTCGAGAGCTGCATCGGAGACGCCATTCTTGTCGCGCGTACTCCAGCCGGGGCACAGCTGAAGGCTTGGTTCTGGTCAATCGGCCACTGCTCGATAGTGCGGGTTACATTGCACATGCTGCATGCCGCCATCATCACCGCAACATTATCAATAGACGGGGGTCGGGGACACCAGCGGCGCAGCACAGGACGAGGGATGGATCGACCCAGCGCCCGACGCGCCGCCGAGAACATCCTGGGGCAGCGGGCGTAGCGCTTGAGAGAGTCGGGCGAGCGCGCGCAACCGTATGCGCAGAGCCGCCGGCCGCCCACATGGAGGATGCGATGCGAAGTGGGCCAAGCGTCCGACCAGGTCCGAACCGCAGCCCGCGCCCACGACGTCGGGCATCGCCTGAGTGCTGCAACAATCGGGTCTCAGTTTATCTCGCCAAGAACAGCGCGGTGGCGGGGTATCAGCTTACGCAATGTTAGCCCCAGAACTCCAGCAAGAGGAGCGGTGTCACGAGCCAACCCACGGAGAGCACGATACGCAGCGCGTTGAGGGCGCGGGCGGCGGTCCACGGCCGCCTGGAGCTCCTCACGGGCAGCTTCGCAAGCGACGGGCACCATGGGCGAGAGCTGACCAGGTGGGCCTAGCCTAGCTGCAGCTTGCGCCAGCGTCTCCACATACGACTGAGGGCGCCAGAAGCTCGGATACAGACGACCTGGGCGGAGCATGCACAGCGTGCGCCAGCCGTCGTGCTCGTTGACGAAGGAGACCAGCGAGTGCAGGACCTGCTCGTGCTCGGGGAAGGTCAGCGCGGCGGCGCGCGCCAGCGAGGCGACAGCGACGCGCCGCCAGCGGAGGACGCGCGGGCCGCTCCACAGGTCCAGCTGCGCCCAGGACTCCAGCGAGAGGGCGCCGATCGGCGCCCGAAAGGCCTGCGCCATCGTGGGCAGCTCGAGCGCCAGGAGCTTGGGGGGCAGCCAGGCAAATTGCGCGACGTACGAGAGTGTGGCCACCGCGCGGGTGTTATACAATATGGCTGAGACGCTGGGGGGTGTCGCGCCGCGGCCAACCGCCTGAGCCCGCGGGCGAAGCTTGGCGACAGGGTCCGCCCAGCAGTCACATGGGCCAACCTCAGGGCCCAACCATAGGCTCAAGTAGAGCAACTTCGACACCACCTCCAGATCAGCCCAAGCCGGGATGGCCTCCGAGATTGCGGCCTTCGCACGGGCCGCCAATGGCACGGAGAAGCGCCCAGCCAGGGGCACGACCTTACATTTCGGTATATCGAGGGCTAGGTTGGCGAAGGACTCAGCGAGCTGCATGATGCGGAAGACCTGCAAGAGCCCCACGGTCGACCGAACCGCCCCATCCGACGTCGTCCGCACATGCGCGCAGGACCCTCGACCGATCACTCCAGGTCACTTAACGCAAAGAGGCTCCCAGAGAGCCCGCAGCCCTGGAGAATCCCGCTGCGGATCCATAAGATCCCCCTCAACACCCCGCCGACGGAGACGACGCCCCCGATCGCGGCGCACAGGGAGCAAACGAAGAGGAGGAGAGCACCAGAGAGGTTCAGCATCTGCATCACCATTTGCATGTAATCCTGGTTGAGGGGGGGGAAGGCTTGGCCGAAGTCCAGGGGGAAGAGGAGGGGGGGGCCAGGATCATGAGGGCACGTAACTGATAGCTTCCGAGCGCGCGCATCAACGTCTAGAATATGCCACCCGAAGTTCCGCCCAGGCACGAACCCCCTCTGGGACTGGGGGGCGACATGCGCTACCACAGGGCGTAGCGCTCGATTCACGACTGCGGACATGATCTGCGCGTCCGCGTTCTTCAAACCGAGAACCCGTATTTCATCTGGGGTGCGCGTGCATGTGCCGCCTCTCATCTCGTGTTCAGTGATGGCCTTCGGTAGAAAGGCTTGAATAGTAGTGTTAGACTCCAAGAACAGCCGCTGCCCCGACATCACCCAATGCAAAGCATCAAAGAGAACTCGGATCTAATACTCATTGCACCCCCAAGCATCGCACGGTGGCCCATCTACACCCGTGGCACTGTGGCGCGCCCTCCTGATAACCTCCCTCATCGACCGTAACGACGGCGGCGGCGTGACAACATCCTCGGTAGAAGGCAGGCGTCCCCGAAGATAAGAGCGAGCACCGGCAGCAGCTAACGGCTTCTTGGCAAAGACAGGGCCCCAAAACTTCCCTAGGGCATCGATGCGGCCGGAAGGGTCAGTCACGACGCTGTGCGAGGAGGAGTCGGCCACGCCCGAGAGAGACAGACGCTTGCCGATCGGCGACCACAGCCTTGCCATCTTCTCCAGCGCACGCAGTTGCAGACGAACCTGCTGCGCACCCCCTTCTTTTTCCTGTCTAGCTTGGAGCTCGCGGCGACGAGCTTCGGCAGCCTCGCGCTGGACGCGGCAAGACCACTCCTGAAACGAGGGCGGATGACGCAAGGATGCACTGGTGCCGTCGATCATGATGTGCTCGTCAGTCTCGGGATGCGAGTTCTGAAGCGGGCGGGCCAAACGCCAGTCCTGCCCCCAGACCACGCGCGCCAGGGACCTAGCAAGTAGTTGTAACGACTGCGGGTGCTGGGGTCGCAGGCGGAAGAGACGTTCACGGGTTTCCAGACCAGCCTGGCGAAGAAGGAACTTGTAATGCTCGAGGCGGACGGGCGGTGACATCGACGACCAGTCACTCGACCGAACGAGGCCTGCCAGGCGCTCCAGGAAGAACGGCTCGCGGCACAGCTCGCGTGAAACAGGGCGCTCAGCAGCAGGCTTAGGGGCGCGAGTCGAGAACGATGCAACCGCAGCAGCATGATCCGATATCTTTTTGTCAGAGACAGCGGCCGCCGACTCGACCGTCGCCGAGGTGATGTGCATCTGGCAGGCCTGCCAGCTGGCCAGGGAGCAAAAGACCCTGTCGATGCAAGACGACTCGTTGGTGTCCTTGACATAGTGCGTCGGCTCGTCGCCCTCGAGCTCAAGCGCGCGCGCCAGCGCCCTCCGCCAGATCGCCGAATGGCGGCCGAGGGGGCGTGCAGGATGAGCGCCTCATCCGCGGCAAGATTGAAGTCGCCGTTGACCGCCACTAACCTGCGAACAGGGTCGTCCTGGGCGGCCCTCAGCGCGGCGCCGATGGACACGGTCGCACGACGGATGTCGTCCGAACACAAACCATGATTATGAATGTTGAAGACCGCGAGTAAGACATCGCCCCTCTGGATATCCACTCTCAGCACTCTCCCAGGAACGAGGCTATCATGCGAGACTGTCGTCAGAGCCCCCCCCCACCGTAGATAGCTTCGGAAGCAAAACCGCGACCCCACCTTTGACGCGGCCCGTCCTTTCCGCGCCAACGAAGCCGGTCATCAGAGCGGACACGGGGTAGGTCTGGTTAATGAACGCGCGCAGCTGGAGCTCGTCCTGGTGGACCTCCTGCAACGACGCGATCGTGTGGTGCGGCCGCCGCCGCGCGAGGTAGTTCTTCTCCAGGCTAGCCTTCGCCCCAGCAGCCTGAAGTAGTGCCCGGCAGTTCCATGTCGCGAACCGCAGAGGCGGTGGAGACCCATTGCACTCATTCGTACTGAAGTGGAAGACGGAGGCAACATCAAAGGCACCACTGGGGCTCCATGGGAGGGCCCGCGAGCGCCTGCGTCGCTGCGACGGCCTGCGCCTTCGAGATCCGATGCTTCTGCAGACCTTCGACGACCCACCGCAGCTTCGGAGGAGACTCGCCGTTGAAGACCTCGACCCGCAGCGCTTTGTCCCATCCGATGGACAGCACCCCCCTCTCACGGTCCAGGAGGATCCTGGAGCCCGCGCCGCGCAACTCCTGGAGGGCATCCTTGCACTTGCGCAGCGTGATCTCTTGCTTGACCTGCTTCGGGCTCGTGTCGGGGCCAAGGTGGAGACGGCGCGCAGGCGCGCCGTCGACCTCAGCCCAGAACTCTCTTCAGACGCCGTTCTCGCGAAGCTTGGAGAGCACCATCTGCACCTTCCGCGTCGCGGGCGCAACGGGCCCGCCTAACTTGATGAGGAAGCGGCGGCTAGGCAAGGGCCCAGCCGCCTCGATCTTGTAGTCCTCTGGTTTGAACGCCAAGGACAGCAACCATTCGTCCAAAGACTCCTTGACCGCGGCGAGGGTGGTCGGCACCTGCGACATGACCACCGCGAGCGTGTGGTCAGGGTCGCGGGAGAAGCCCGACGGCACCGCGATGGGGACCACGGGCCTCTCCTCAGCGACCGCGAGCAACTTCTTGAACTCAGCCAGCTCACCCTGCAAGACCTGCAGCTTCTCGTCATGTTTGTCCATCCTCTCGTCATGCTCGTCCACGCGCGCAGCATGGACATCGAACTGCTTAGGAAAACTTTCACCGGTCTCGTCGAGCGACGGCTGAATAGCGGACTGTGCCTGCTGGTCAAGAGAGGGGGCTTGCCCATTGAGCTGGATCCTGACGGCCTCCAGGGCCTGAAGGACAATTCTGTTCGACTCTGCAACCGAGGCGGCGACCGTTTTGCCAACTTCTTCTTGCATGGGCTCTTTGAGACCATTCCACTCTGAACGCACAATATTTCGTAGGTAGTCATCTGACACTCCAGCCCATTCTCCGTCTTCGGCATCATCAGCGGGTCCGTCGGCACCGAACAACGCCCCAGAGGTAGGCGGTATGGCACGACGCTAGCCAGGAGGAGGGAAGTCAGCATCAACAGCACGATACGGAACAGAACCTTTCCCGCGTTGGCTGCCCTTCGCAGTGTCCTCAGAGGTCTGCGACGGGAAGGTGGCTGCGAGGTCGATGCCATCGAGGAGGATATGCTGCGTGTTGGGGTCGGCGACACCCATGAGCGAGACTGAAACGCCCGCGCGCGCAGAAACGGGAAATACCTCCGCTTACCCGCGGGCACGAGCGTGAGTGCGATGCCCAAAATCTGCCAGATGCCTGCCGCGGACTAGCGGTATCCACTTGTTCCCATGAGGAACTATGCATTTTGCGCCAAAATGGCTACGAAGGCGGGGGGGGGGAGGAGGAGGAGGAGGAGGAGGAGGAGGAGGAGGAGGAGGAGGAGGAGGAGGAGGAGGAGGAGGAGGAGGAGGAGATGGAAACGCCGCGGAGAACCGACGAAAGTGTCCAAAGCCAGCCTCGAGCCTCGAACCTTGCGGCGCAACCCCAAGATGGTGGCTGAAGGGGGCGTTCCCTGGCCCCCCCGGACGCTCTCGTCGAGGGGCATCGGCCGCTGGGAGGCACCCCGCGAGGCCGGCAGACCGCCGAGAGCCGACGAAAACTCGAGGAAAAAACAAGCAACAAAAACAACATCACTGGAAAACTCCCACGAAAGAAAAAGAAGAGAAAAAGAGCCCACGCAAACTCTGAAACAAAAACTCTGGCAGACCGCTGGGAGCCGAACAAAAACACCTCGAACCTCAAACGCTCACCCTTATAGGAGTGTTGCCCCGGGACCCCCCCTCCTTGGACGCCCCCGAGGCCGGAAAAAAATACGGCGGCCCCCTTGCAGAACAGCGTTGAAGATACGGAACCGACGAATCTGAAAGGGCTCTGGCACACACACAGACATATATATATATATATATATAGCTCCCAAGATTGTCAAAGCATTTCCATTGATTCTGGGTTTCCGTCTTACCCCCACTTCCCATATGTTCGCGTACTTGCCTTGGGGTCGACGACGCATCGTGTCTGCGTGATGTCTTCCCTCTTGATCATTGCTGAGTGGGCGGCGAAAACTCCGGGGAGACCTCGCGGCCCTGCTTATAGCCCTCCTGATGACGAGGAGGAGCAGGCGGCAGCAGGCGGGGGGACGGACGCAAGGACGGGGACGAGAGGGCAGGAGCGAGGGACGGGAGCCAGAGCACTAGCAGCACGAGGGAACGAGGGTGACGACGAGGACGGGGAGGAGAGGAGGGACCAGGAGGGCCCCCCACTCGCAGTCCACCACCACCACCACCACAACCACCACAACCACCACCACCACTCCTGCACTGGAGCACCCAATCATAATATTAGGTCGGGCATGTCCCCCTACAGGCGGGCTTAGGAAGAACAGTCAACAATAATCAAGCATATTCAAACAATCAGCAACATAGAAAAATCGTCCCCAGACTAATTTTCGACTATTCTATAATTTTCCTCCTGCAGAGGACAGGACAGGCCAGCCCTAATCATGGTGTGAGCATGAACTGCTCGAGCTCTGCGCGGATCTGTTCGGTCGGCGCTGAACCCCCTCCCTGGCGCGCGGAGCCCGCCAGAGAGGGCCCCAGCGCCGAGGCGAGAAATCAGCGCGGCTACGAAAGTTTCTGTCTGCGCACCTCTTGTTGGTGCCTCGTGCTCGTGCTGGTCCGTACCTCGTGCTCGTGCTCGTGCTGGTCCGTGCCTCGTCCGCTTGTGCTCGTGCCTGGTTGGTACGCCTCGTCCTCTTGCTTCTCTGGTGCAGAGAGAGGGGCCCCGAGCCTCGTGCCTCGTGCTCGTCCGCGTCCTCTCGTCCTCGTCCCCGGCCCCCCCGCCCCCCTGCTCCGGCTCCTGCTCCTGCCCTCACGCTGGGTGGGCTAACAGTGTCTACACGTGGCTCGCCAAGACCTTGAGTTACCAAAGCACGTCGGACAATACTTCATAACCCCCTTCCCCTAAATTCGAAGTTGACGGGCTTGGGCTATGGGCCAAAGGCTGGGGACAGAATGTGGACACTTCAGCCTTGGGTCTGGGGGGAGGGGTGCCAAGCAAGGGCATTTCGCAAATGTGGTCGTTATCCTGTTGCATCGCCTTGCCGCCATGGGTGTGGACACTTTTTCTCCGGGCACCGTAGCATTAGGTCGGGCATGTCCCGCTACAGGCAGATCTTGGAAGAGAAAATCATGATAGCCGAAAAGACTCAAACATAGTTTGAAAGAGTCGAAACATCGTCCCCAGACTATCTATTCTACTTTTCTCTACTCCCCCTGCAGAGGGACATTCCCGACTTCACTTTAGCATGAGGGGAGCGGGTCCTGAGAAAAACGGGTCCTGGACCCCGGTGCCTTTCCCCAGGACGAGCGCTGTTTGTCCTGAGCCGCTTTCTGACACTCCCAGGCCGGGAGACGGCGACAAACCTCGGGGCCCGTTTCCCTCAGGACCCGCTCCCCCCCCCCCCCCCCCGGGCGAGGAGCGACGTGGGGAAGTGAGAAGGAGAAGGCCTTTCGGGGAACGACGAATGACATGAACATAAAAACTCGGAAGTCCGCGCGGATTTCTCTGATCCGCGCCGGACCCCCCTGTGTCACTGAAGGCCTCGGGCCTGCTGAGAGGCTGTCTGCGTCGATCGGGGAAGGCGCGCAGAACACTTCCCGAGAAGGCCGGGGGACTTGCGAGCCTTCTGAGAGGGTCGGCCCCTTCTCACCTCCCCCCCCCAGCGCGCCGCCGACCCGCGGCGTGCCCACTTCGCCTGGAGCCCGGATCGCTATGCATGCGTAACCCACTTATGAGCTAGGTTAGGCCTGATACAACCCACCTTGGCATCCACTGCTATCCCCCCGATCCTATCAGCAACCCCCTCGCCCATCCCAAGAGGAGGAGGGGGAGGAGGAGGAGGAGGAGGAGGAGGAGGGAGGAGGAGGAGAGGAGGAGGAGGAGGAGGAGGAGGAGGAGGAGGGCGGAGGCGGAGGCGGAGGGGAGGCGGAGGAAGAGGACGAGGCGGAGGAGGAGGCGGAGGAGGAGGAGGAGGAGGAGGAGGGGGAGGAGGAGGAGGGAGGGAGGAGGAGGAGGAGGAGAGGAGGAGGAGAAGAAGGAAGAGAAGAGGAGGAGGAGGAGGAGGAGAGAGGAGGGGAGGAGGAGGAGTGAGGAGGAGGAGGAGGAGGAGGGAGGAGGAGGAGGAGGAGCGGGCGGCGCAGGGCCCCCGTGGCCTCGCGAGCGGGCTGCCCGCGGCCGCGTGCGAGGCCCGCATGCTGGGCGTCTCGCTGCCGGGCAGGCCGCCGCGGGCCATACGCGCGGCCCGCCGGGAGCCCCCCGTGGGAGGGCAGCCCTGGGCGCCGTGCGGCCGCGCCGTCGTCGGCGGCGTCGGCGTCGTCGGCGGCGTCGGCGCCGTCGGCGGCGTCGTCGCGGGGGTCCCGAGAGGCTTCCTGCTCCCTCCCCTCCAAGTTCCCAGACGTCCAGCGTCTCAAACCAAATCCGCCGACCCTGTCGGCGTGTGTGAGGGGCTTGTCCGTTCAAGTCGTCATCTCCGTCATTTGTTGGTCGTCGTCTCTGTCGTCCCCTTTCCCTGCCTCCCCCTTTCTCTGGGCTCGTCGAAGCTCCCCCCTTCCCCAGGGACCTCCTCAGCGCGCCAGCCAAAGCGAAGTTGAGCAACGTCGCAATCGAGTCGAAGGGAAGCCGCTTCCCTTCGATCCCTCCCCCGCCGGGGGGGGGGGTTCTGGAGCCCCAGAAAGCCCCAGGACGGGCAAAGAGTGCCCCAAGAGCCCCAAAGACAATCCAAGAAAACCCCGAATCGCCGAACGATCTGTCCAAGACGTCTTGACGGCCTCCAGACGGCCCAAGAGGCCTGCAAAGCGCCCGAAGAGGCCTCCAGGAGTTTACCCACGAGAGCCTCAAGAGGCAAAATTCATGGATTTCCCATATGTTTTGAAAGAGTTTGGCGTTCTTGCCTCTTCCGCTTCCCGACGTGCCAAGACGGCCCAAGAGGCCCCCAAGATCGCCCCGAGACGGCCCAAGAGGCCACCAAGAGGGTCCCCTAACGCCCGAAGAGGGCCCCAACACGTCCCAAGACGCCTCCAAGACGGCCCAAGAGGCCCCCAAGACGGTTCCAGGAGAGTGCCCAGACTGGGGAAACCGAACGGACATTTCGAGCTCTCAGCCCCAAGAGGCCCCCAAGAGGCCCCGAAGAAGCCCCAAGAGGCCCCAAGAGGCTCCCAAGAGGCCCCGAAGAAGTCCACATCTTTCTCCCCCCTCCTCCTCCCTCATTCACCTCCTCCACCCTTACTCCACCTCCCACTCATCCTCCTCCCCCTGCCCCCACCCTCGTTTTCAACTTCGTCGTTCTCAGGGTCGGCGGCACCAGCCGTAAGGCCTTCGCAATCGAGGCGGAAATTCTTCCTCGTTTTCGGCCTCTCGGGGCCGTCACCAGGCATCTGGACCGTCCAGATGAAGGACTCGGGATGAAACACTGGACCCGGGGAACAGCTCGAGAGGTCGGGGGCCCGTGTCGCGACCGAGACGTGCCCGCCCCATGCCCATTTCTGTCCCTTGCCTGGCCCGCTTTTGCTTGTCGATGCTTGCTGTGCCGGCGGCCACGCCTCGGCGGCGGCGCTATCGGCGGCGGCGCTTCGCACGCCATCGCTGGGGGCGGCGGCGGAAACGTCGCCGGCGCACCGCGGCGTCTCCCCGGACGGCCTCGCTCCTCGAGGCGCTCGGGCGCCTCCGCGGGGCTCGTGGAGGCGTTTGCTTCGCCTCGGGGTGCTGCCTCCTGCCTCGATCCACCAGCCGT